GTTCAGAGTCAGCGCACTTTAACCAACTGACCCGAAGCCGTGCTTGACTTTTATGTTCGCTATCGCTAGACATTATCGAAAAATGTTTGATATTAAATGTCTCATTAAAAATAAGTATAAGTGATTATACTTCGGGTTTGCAATAGGCTTTTGTTAGATATATTGTATTAGATGGGTATATAACCAATATCTAATATTAGTAGAAGCAATCTCATCTGATAAATAATATGTATAGTATGGAAGTGCTTAAAAATAATAAAAAGCTACCATATGTCAAGCGAAAATCAAGTTACAAGAGAAGTTATAGTCCACTTAGAAGCTTTAATTTTCGACATTAAGTGAGATTTTAGTGAGATTTGACGCATTAATACCTCAATTCAGATACTTCACGTCAGAAATGTTATTTTGGCAAAAAACTAATTAACATGAAATTACTATTAAAATTGATTAAGATTTTGACTAAGATTGACTAAGAATTTTAATAGATTGTTTAAAATGCGTAAAATCTTGTAAAGTGATTGATTACATATTGTAAGAGAACATAAATTCTCATATGTTACACATGAAGTATCTAGTAAGTATATAATATATGCTAATGTATGTATATATACGTATTTAGTGAGCTTGTTTTGATGGCATATTTTTTTAATGTTATTGTTAATAAATTTAAAAATTTAGTTAAATTTAGTAAAATTTTATATATGACGAAAAGTCATTAATTTACAATTAGTTCTCGCCTTTTTCCATTTACAAAACCCTTTGAAGAGCTGCGAACAATTATGGGAATATATGGGAATATTTTTTATATTGAATATAATATATGTTAAATTTAAATAACTTCCATAATTACTAAATTGACAGATTTACTATGGTATATATGTGCGAAATTTCCCTTACTATTAAATTTTTTTTTTTTAATTTGAATGATGGAGATATTTTATTTTTAAATAAAGCACCAATTATAATATAATGAATGATTGATTTAATTATATTTATTAATAAAATTCAACTAAGTTTAATTAAATTGAACTTAAAGATAGACTTTAAGCTCAATT